CACTGTGGTGAGACACACATACACTAGTGACACTCGCGCGTGTCTCACCGTTAACACTGTGGTGAGACACATACACTAGTGACACTCACGTGTGTCTCACCGTTAACACTGCGGTGCGCCCATAGACACTAGTGACACTCACGTGTGTCTCACCGTTAACACTGCGGTGCACACATAGACACTAGTGACACTCACGTGTGTCTCACCGTTAACACTGCGGTGAGACACATACACTAGTGACACTCACGTGTGTCTCACCGTTAACACTACGGTGCGCCCATAGACACGCGCCGGCACGGGCCACCGTTTCTATTTTAATATGCGCGCGCGTCACACCCACACTGAGTTATAGTCACCCACACACCGTCGTACGCCGATCGCTGTCCCACCGCTCTTCACACGCACACCTGCACCACGCGTCACAACGTTAGTCTGTGCTAAGATTTATTTCCCGGAGCGAATAGTGACCCCCTGTTTATGGCCCCATCCAGCCAGCACCCTTTGGGCAGCGCCTAACCTCCTATCACCTGGCCGTCGCAGAGTGCGTCTATCCCCCAAGCTCGAGCTGACTGCGAGCTGGGCTGAGTTGGCCCCCCTCCCCTTACCTACTCACCTCTTCAGCTGCCCGATGGGGGCTGGGGAAGATGCTCGCCTTGGGGACTTTTTCTGGCCGATCGTTTCCAGCTCCACCCTGCATGCGTCGCCGGACGCTGAGGACGGCTGGTCTCTTCCGCCGCTCCAGAAGAACTCTGATTCAATCCGCCCCTCCGGCCCCCTTATGTCTCCAAAGCCCCTTAACCCCCGGATCATATGACGTCATCCTGCGCATCCAATCGAATCCTCTTTTTTACGGCCGTTTTGAGCGCTCTGGCCGTTGGAGGGGGGGGGGGGGGGTCGCGTCACCCCCCCCTTCCCATTGTCTCTGTGCCTGCGTTCCTCGCCTTTGACTCATCGATAATCCCCTCGCTCCCTCCAACTTAAATCAACTCTTATCTGCCTAGGGGCTTTTCCCTCCCACCCCACTGTTTACCCTGCCGCTGGGTGCTGGCCTTGAGGTCCCACCACCCCCCCCCCCCCCCCCGTGTTGTGTATGCTTCATCGCGGCCGGCCTGTCAAGCTCTATGCCCCCTTCTTGGGGGGGGGGGGGGCGCCATGTAATCCGGTCTGGGGGGCTCAGCCAATTTCCTGGTCCGGGGAAACCGTGGAACGTCCTTGCTAGTGGGGTCCTCAGGTGAAAACCCATCGTACCACGTGATCCCTCCTCGAGACCCTACGGGGGTGCATGTGAGTGTTTAGTGGGGCGTGCGTGCGTGGGGGGGGTAAGGGTAGCGCCGGCCGAGTAGCTCCGCTGCGGTGGCACCACGCATGCCTTTAGACCATTTAGATGATTCTGCTGCTATAAATGCCCACATGAGAAGCCTCTTTTGTTGAGCTGTCGTTTGTGGCCAGGTCGATTTATAAAGATAAGTTAGTGCATCAGTGGGCTCTGTCTGATAGGATCGGGACGGTTTAGTCTTATTTGAACGTGTATGGGTGATTTGTTTACACGGCTTGTACTTTTCACTCCTATCGTGGTTTTTTTTCTGTATTGTTTGTTGTTGGAACGTTCTTGCCCGCCCCGACTGAACATCCTGTGAAAAAAAGAGCTTTACAGCTCATCGGATTCCTCTAGTCTAAATAAATATTTCTGATTCAGATGATGTATTGTTTCTAAAGGAATTCTCGTACAGGCGGATTGCGTGTGACGCGCACATTGGGTGGCTGCTCAATTGTGTTCTTATACGAGGTCACGTGGGGGCCATTGCGCAACGATGACGTAACCGAATTCACTGGCAGCCCCCCCATGCGTGGTATGAAATGTAACTACGGGCGACTGCGCTTATGTGGACTATGAATTTGCAAGCGGAAATATTCAGTGGTGGGGGTGTGGGCGGTGGGGTAAGCAAAACGAGTCACGATTTGAGGGGGTCACGTGAAAGCGTGGGAGTCGATACCGATTCCGCTGCAGTAGCTATCGATTTCTGGAATCGATCTGCGAATTCCGAATAATGTAATTTTTATTGAAATCGTGGAAGCGGGATCAGTCGCTAGAAGGATGCTTGGTCGTGTCAACGCGTGGATGGAACGGGACATTTGTTGTTGTTGTTGCGCGACAGAATAGGTTGTTGGCACCGAGATTCGAATCGACAGTTCAACGACTCTCGATCGAGTTGATGACCACCGGGAAAATTGAGATCGGCACGCCGCGGCCTTCTCACCGCCACGCGTTGTTGCAGGTGGCGAAAATCGTCGCGCGTCTGAAGAGGCGAGGGGGCGGGGTCCCGAGTGGAGGGCGGGGCTCGTGGCTCACGGGGCGGGGCTACGGGGAAGAAGTTCAATGGCATGGAGGGCGGGGGTCTCGTGCGTGGGAGGGGGCGGGGTCTCGATGGCAGTGGGCGGGGTTAATTGGTTTGGAGTGGGCGGGGTTAATGAGAGGTGTGTACCAATGTAAATGAAGGGGACTGTTCCTAATAATAATTACAGTATATTTATATAGCGCTTTTCATCAAGTACTGTATCTCAAAGCGCTGTACAGGACAGCAGTTGCAGACACAAAGCATACAAATAATATAAATACATTTTAATAATACATTTTTGTCTTGCATATAAGTACCTGTAATGTACGTTTAACTTCTTACGCTCCGTACGTAGCCAACCCTGCTAATCGGAGGTGCGATTCGGTCTTGGTGTCATCTGGGACCGTTTTTGTTGTTTTGCTGCCTTGCCCCAAGCTTGCGTTTAGTATATTAAAAAAATCGCCCACAATGTATGTTGTCATTTACGAAAGTTCGCGCTTACGAAATTTCGCGTTCACACAGTTGACGAAATTATGCACACTTCTTGATTAACGAACTCACATTTCCGTGTCAACAAAAATGTTCACACGGCACAGCATGAGGTCGAACAACATACCTGTCAAACCCTTAACAGTGACCTACTTCAGTACAGACCAATTCAGACGTGATTGGTCATCCAGTGCCCTTAGAAACCTCAACGTTCATCCTACAAAGTCCCATCACAAGGGAGAAACACAAACAAATAGACTCGTATTGAAACGGCTGTACGCCGTATGCGCCTGAAAACTCAATGTCCCCAGCACAAGAAGAATACGGGGTAAACCGCATGGGTTGACAGCTATGGAACAGGGAGCAGCCGAGAGGCTGCGTCATCCATCGCGTCAGTGTCACGGTGACCCTGCAGCAGTACAACAACCACGGTCACACATCTGCCTGTTGCGGTGACCCTGCAGCAGTACAACAACCACGGTCACACATCTACCTGTTGCGGTGACCCTGCAGCAGTACAACAACCACGGTCACACATCTACCTGTTGCGGTGATCCTGCAGCAGTGCAACAACCACGGTCACACATCTACTTGTTGCGGTGACCCTGCAGCAGTACAACAACCACGGTCACACATCTACCTGTTGCGGTGACCCTGCAGCAGTGAGACAACCACGGTCACACATCTACCTGTTGCGGTGATCCTGCAGCAGTGCAACAACCACGGTCACACATCTGCCTGTTGCGGTGACCCTGCAGCAGTACAACAACCACGGTCACACATCTGCCTGTTGCGGTGACCTTGCAGCAGTGAGACAACCACGGTCACACATCTGCCTGTTGCGGTGACCCTGCAGCAGTGCAACAACCACGGTCACACATCTGCCTGTTGCGGTGACCCTGCAGCAGTACAACAACCACGGTCACACATCTGCCTGTTGCGGTGACCCTGCAGCAGTACAACAACCACGGTCACACATCTGCCTGTTGCGGTGACCCTGCAGCAGTACAACAACCACGGTCACACATCTGCCTGTTGCGGTGACCCTGCAGCAGTACAACAACCACGGTCACACATCTGCCTGTCTGTGTCCAGTTTGTTGTCCTTCCCACGCACCTCCGATTAGCACGGTAGGCTACGTACGGTGCGAAAGAAGTTCAACATACACCACCTGTTCAGTCATTCCAACATGCAGATATTTTGGTGAGGTCCATAAAAGGTGATTTTTAAAAGTATATCATTCAGTAATTTTTAGATTTATGTTCCTTTATTACTTGTTTGTGTATTGTGAAAAGTAATATCGGTGTACAGTACATGTACGTATATTTTTAGGTGAGGAGAGTTGGAATTGCTCATTTTTCGTATTAAAATAATGTTGGAAGCCATTCCGATGTTCGTTGTACGCGCGTGCTTTTTTGAAGAACGCATCCCTTTCGTAAATCGAGGGATAGCTGCATAAACTTAATGTTGTTTATTTTTCATGACTTACATTTTCTCTATTTTTGCACTCCTATCGTTTGTTACGTATTGTTTGTTGTTTTAACTTGCTGGCCCGCCCTCCCTGCTGGGTATCTGTGATTAAGAGCTTTACAGCTCATCGGATTTCCTCCTGCAGTCGAAATAAAGTCTGTGGGTGGGCGTGGTTATGAGTAAGTGGGCGGGGAGCGGGAGTGTAGCGATTAGCGCACTGCGCTCCCAAGCTGGACCACCCGAGTTCGATTCCCGCTCACGGCCAACGCCAGTGACGATTACCTGAACCGGTCCTGGGCCTCCCCTAGGTTGACTAAGCCTCAAATGAGCATCTGGTGCGGTGCGTAAACATCGCCACTGGGGAGACAAAGGCGGCCACCCAGCCCCTCGTGTGCTGTTCCCGCCTTCATAAGGTGCTCACTAACAGCACTTTGCCCCAACAGTCCGTTGAGGCTATACGGGGGATCTTTGTCTTTGGAGGTAGGTTGGAATGGGGGGGGGTCAGTGATGGCCGGGGCTACTGCGTGGAGTGGGCGGGGTTACCCGATAGGGCATGAGGAGGCGAAACCAGGAACGGAGTGGGCGGGGTTTATGAATAGTGGGCGGGGGCTATGGGGGAGAGTGGGCGGGGTTTACGGGGGCCACTTGGCGCAGGGGGTGAGGAGGACAGTGGGCGGGGTTTTGAAGAGAGTGGGCGGGGTTTTATGGTCAGTGGGCGGGGTCTGGTGTAGCCGTAACGGTTTGACGCGGCGGAGCCCGCGAGCTTGACTTCTTCGCGTTGTGGCCGCGCGTGCGCCGCCTCAGCGTGGCGGTGATCGCCCAGCCCCGAACCCAACCCCGCCGCCGCATCCACGGCCTGCAGCGGTTGTCTCGCTTCTCCACCAATAGCAGCCGATATCTATAGCTACATATTTTAATTTGCGTTATTAAACGCGCTCTCTTTATGTAACGCCCCTGAACTGGCCGGCCGCCTCTCTCTCGGCGAGAGAGGAGTAGGAGTAGGCGGCGAGGAGGAGTCGAGCGTGTGGAGCGAGGTAAGGAAGGCCGCGCACGGCGAGCTCTACTGGCGGGGACTGCCGTGGACTGCTGCTCTTGTAGCGAAACCGGCTGCTCGTTCGATTTAATGGCAATTGAGAGTCATCGGGTTCCCAGGTTTGCCGTGCGGATATACAACAAAAATCAATGTCGAGTGGTAATGGTAGCACCGCGGTTGTGTGTGTTTTTTTTGAGGGGCTGAGGGGAAATAAAATCTGACGGGAGCTGCTTGTTGACGACGGTGGTTGTTGTAATGGGGGAGCCGCGGCGCGCTGGGCTTGCAGTCAGGCAGTGACGACAACGGGACAGGTTTAGTGGGGGGGATGCAGGAGTGGTGATGGGTGAGGCAGGATAGGTGAGGGATGAGGGAGGAGTGGTTATGGATGAGGAGTGATGCCGGAGTGGTGAGAGGATAGGTGAGGGATGGGGAAGGAGTGGTTATTGGTGAGGAGTGATGCCGGTGTGGTGAGAGGATAGGTGAGGAATGAGGAAGGAGTGGTTATGGGTGAGGAATGATGCAGTAGTGGTGAGAGGATAGGTGAGGAATGAGGAAGGAGTGGTTTTGGGTGAGGAGTGATGCAGGAGTGGTGAGAGGATAGGTGAGGGATGAGGGAGGAGTAGTTATGGTTGAGGAATGATGCAGGAGTGGTGAGTGAGGATAGGTGAGGAATGATGCAGGATTGGTGAGAAGATAGGTGAGGAACGAGGGAAGAGTGGTTATGGATGAGGAGTGATGCAGGAGTGGTGATGGGTGAGGCGGGATAGGTGAGGGATGAGGAAGGAGTGGTTATGGGTGAGGAATGATGCAGGAGTGGTGAGTGAGGATAGGTGAGGAATAGGGAAGGAGTGGTTATTGGTGAGGAGTGATGCCGGAGTGGTGAGAGGATAGGTGAGGGATGGGGAAGGAGTGGTTATTGGTGAGGAGTGATGCCGGTGTGGTGAGAGGATAGGTGAGGAATGAGGAAGGAGTGGTTTTGGGTGAGGAGTGATGCAGGAGTGGTGAGAGGATAGGTGAGGGATGAGTAGTTATGGTTGAGGAATGATGCAGGAGTGGTGAGTGAGGATAGGTGAGGGATGAGGGAGGAGTGGTTTTGGGTGAGGAATGATGCAGGGGTGGTGAGGGAGGATAGGTGGGGAATGATGCAGGGGTCGTGAGGCATGAGAGAGGAGTGGTTATGCGTGAGGGAGGAGTGGTGATCGGTGAGCAGGAGATTGGCTTGTAAGTGAAGTGCCGGGTAAAGTGAAGAGTTGGGCATAAAGAGTCATCAAGAGAGTGGTGGTGGTGATGATGGTGATTAAATGAGGTGTAGCGTCAGATTGGGACAACTAATTGCTGGATAAAGGAACCGATGAGAAATGAGCATGTGGCAGTAGATGGATTCAAATTTGAGTGAACGAAGGATGAGGAATAATGAAGGGAATGATGATGGTTATGATGATGGGTTGGCGAGCAATTTGGGAAGATGGTGAAGAGTGTGAGTGGGTGAGGCTGACTGTGAAGGTTCTTGGGATGGTTGTGTGTGGGAGTAAATAATGAGGACGTGAGAATGAATGAACGGGAGACGGAGTGTCCAAAGGTGTACGGGGGAGAATGGACGGTGGTGATAATAGTGAGAATGTTCATTTTGTATTCGCCCCGGAGACAAGGGAAGAGTCATTCTCAAGAGTTGACCTTGGCTATATAAATGACAAAAGATGAGATATTAGGGAGATGATTATAAAGGAAGTGACGATCGGTGAGTGTAGGTGGGTGGATTGAAAATGGACGGGCAAGGGAGTATATGGTGATTGATGATTGTTGTGGAGAGAGTTATGGTGGATGTTTGCAAGGTGCTGGTATTTCATGTGATTCTGTAACTCTTTTGTCAACCCACCGTGGGACGATGGCTTTCCCATGCTGCGAAAGGTCATGGGGGTTACGTGGTAATACTGGTTAGTGCTGCTTGGTTAAGGTCGGGAGCATAGACACGAGGGCATAGACATACAGTACAATTTATTTTCTTGCACTACCTTCTACTGACAGCATAGACACCGCAGCAGCCTAGAACGCCTGCATTTACGCATGGCTGTTCACCCAATCCCGCTCGACTATGCTTTGTGTCTGAGATCTCAGAAACTTCGGCATCATGCAGGTGATATCGTCACATAGGCGTGCTTGTGCAGGATGTATTCTGCGAGAGAGAGTGGTTGAGGGTGTGTGTCGGTAGCTTTGTGGTTGAATTTGGAAGGCTGGAGGTTTGGGAGACGCATCAATGATAGGGAGGGGCAGACAAGAGATGAGCCGGGAGCTGGAGGGAAGAACAGAGTCGAATCCCTGAGCTTTCGCACTGACACCGCAAATGAAAGGTGGCCGGGCTCGATTAGTATGCGGGTCGTGTGTCCCTTGCGGCCTCCGACTGCCCCTCCGGCATTTCGTGGCCACCGACCGATCGATTAGCCCGGGAGACTGGTTAAGGAAGTTGCACGTATCCTGGGAATACGTCAGCGAGGGTTGTGGAACGGGAGGTCCCCTTGTGTAACATCACCCACAAAACGGTGGTTCCATTTTTGGAGCACCTGCGTCGCAATGCCATTGACCCAATATTTAACCGGGCGAGGTGACTACCCATTGAGGTTCAGTGTTGAATGCCCCCATTGAAGCTTCTTTGTGTGGCTAGCGGTGGGAAGCAGCGGTGAAAAGACAACGGTTGTGTTAAGCACGGTTATTGGGGTGTGTGCGTTAAGTCGGTGTTGCATCTCGGCGTCGGGAAATCTTAGGTCGTACGAAACCCACCGCGGCCACTTGAGCTGCACACAGAGCCGTTGCGGTTAGAGTGCCGTCTTTCATTCACCGAAGATGCCACGGATGGGATAAGTAATGAGTGCTCGTGCATTCATGCTCATGCGTCAAGGTTAATCAGTTTGGTTGTATTGTCTGATTTATAAATACAGTATTGTGAATTACTTGAACTGCGATTTTCTATTTACATTAGCGCCGTGTATTGTATATATGTGCGTTGAACGTCTCTCGCACCGTGCGTTTCCATCCGCGCTAATGGGAGGTATTGCTGCTTAGTTGGAGAGTGTTGCTACAAAATAGTTACTCTGCTTCTGAATTGCCATTTGGCTAAGTACAATTCGGGTGTGGTCAGTGTGTGACACTTGTGCCTCCACAGCAAGAAGGCCCTGGGTTCAATTCCTAACGTGGGTGCTTAAATCTGTGAAGTTTGTATGTTCTGCCCCTGTTCTCTGGTTGTCGTCTCTAGAAAAAAATATATATATACAATTTAACTGATATTTGCAGACAAAACTTCCCAATGCTGAAAAATTACCTGCAAATTATATTTAGTAACAACATAGGATCCCCTTTTCACCGAGGCTTGAGACCTCGTGACGCTTTCCTGAGACTCGGCATTCCTGGTAAACTAGCAAAATAATTAACATGATTATCATGGTTAGCCTGGTTGCGTGTTGCCGTTTGCCGTCCTCTGCTTTTGATCATGATGGAATGGCATACTCATGCCATTATATTTTGCAACCTCACATACATTCCTCTGCACTGTCTCGCTGTCAACATGCACAGGGGGTGTTATCGTGCGTTATTTTACAGTACAATTACACAAAAAACCTGCTACACTGGCTGCTGTCACTATCACTGGTAATCTTTCCCCATCGACTTGTGATTCATCCACATATTATCCTCCGCTCACGATTTAGTTTCAGTAATTTCAAAGTTGCCGAGCACAGTCCCCGTGGCCTTAAGACGTCAAAGTTGTAATCGATAAGGGGCCATCCATTTAGTTCGTACGTATGGAGGGGGGAGGTGGTTAACCCAAATGCGTACGCTTGCGTATGGGGGGGGGGGGTCTACTGAAAATGTACCCATAGGAAACGGGGGGGGGGGGATGAAGCCTCGATAATAATTTGTCTACATTGGCCTTCAAATGAGTTAGAAAGTCCGGCGGTGGACTATCCGTTTGCTTAAACACGTTAATATTATTAGTCCATAATCGTTTCTGCGTGGAGTAAATATCGGCCGTTCTATAGGATTCGGGGGGGTGGGGTGCATCAGGCGTACGAACGCAGGTGGGTGGGGGGGTGTAAAAAGTCCGCGTGCGTACAGGGAGGAGGGGGGGGTCAAGTTTTGACATTTTTGCGTACCTACTCAATGGATGCCTCCTAAGAGGAGACGTAACTCTTGAATTGAGCGAGGTTATTATTCTTAAGCACTTGAGAACAGAGGCGATGGGAGGGAATTCCTAAGTGAAGCAGAGTGACAGAAGAAGACGGCGAGAGAAATGTTGTGACCTTTAGTGTTGGGGTTATTAAACACTGAGGATGAGATGAAGCAGTGGGTGTCTGGTAGACTGAGTCCTCAACATGAGTGGATCATTCAGAGTGAAGTTTATGGGAACAGTAACCATGGTCGTAGCTGTTGAGCGATAAGGAAAGGCAACTGGCTGCCAGTGACTTGATCAAATTCAACAAGAAACATGTTGACTCGTATCTATTCGAGCTTCCATAGAGATGTATGTTTGGGGCCTGTGTTTGTTCACTGGGGGGTGGTGACGTGGCCCTTCAGTAGTAGTGCGTTTTGTCGCTTGGTGTAGGGCATTGGTTCTTCATCTTTACTGCAGCATTGCACCCCTTTGGTTCTCAATGTATAATGTTAACAAATAGATACATAGGTATGATGAAACAACGTAGTTGTCCTTAATTTGTGTTTTAGATTATTTACCTTCTAACAAAATCTGGCCATGTCTCGCACCCCCAGAAAGGGCATCTCACACCCCCAGGGGGTGTGGACACCCCCAGGTTAAGAACCACCGTTTGTAGAGGTTCTCGGTTTGAATCGGCAGGCCGCCTTGGTTATTTTAGCGCGTGCATTGACCGTAGAATATGCGCCCTCTGCTTCGCAGGGGACGTTAAAAATTCCATGACGTCATTCACAAGAGTGGGATAAATTTGAAATTTACCTACAAATTACTAAATTGGAATTACACACAGCAATATCGCACCGTTACTGCGAAACTACTGTAGCCTGTCTGTGAACCACATCAGCGCCTTCGTGATAGCCTTGTGCTATAAGTATTACTCGAATACCAAATGTATTTGATAATTACTATTATTACTGTGTTTTTCATTTCAGTTTTAATGTATTAGGTATAACCCTGTGAGCCATGCGACTCTTGACTTGGGTGCAACCACAACAACAAAAACATGATCAAGAAACATCTTAAATTGACTACACGCAGCAGAAAAATCCAGGAAAAAACAGCAAAGTCTTCCAGAAAAAAACACCGTATTTCAACGCTGTGTGCAAAAATCCCAGTGGGATGCAAGTCAAACAATAACAACCATAAGACAATTTGGATTACAGTTATCATGCTAACGCTGTACCGAAACAAACACGGCTAAACCAAAACGTAAAAAAATTAAAACCCTTGCCCGTGCACACACACACACAGGGTTGCGTGCACCGTGTTATGGGCATCGGGAAGAACACGCAGGCGGCGGCGGTCGGAGAGAAGGGCTGCGAGGTGGGAGGAAACGGCCAGGTGACAACCACCCCGCACGGAGGAGGCCAGGTGAGACTCAGCCCAGGCGCTTTGCTCCGCACTCCACTGCAGCGTTGCCTGAAATAACACACTTCTCAGAGGGCTTAAAAATGCTTTTTATCCCCATTCATAGAATGGGAGTGGTGACGCGGTCGAGTGGTTGCGTGTTCCGCCGCTCGTTGTCGAGGCTCGCGGTTGGAGCCCGGCGGGCGCCCTGGTTAACGCTGCGGGTGCATGAACCATGCAACACTACGTGCTGTCTGCTTCACGGTGGATGTTACAAATTCCATGACACCATTCAAAATGAGTCGGCCATTGTGCGCCGGCGTCATGCTCCACATTGCCAAATTCGAAAAAAACGACAGCAAGTGCTCAATTGGGATTACACATCGCGACCGTTGCCTCCATAGGCAGAATGATGCTCATTCGCGTGCCACTTGAGGTCACCTTGTACGCATATTGACAGTTGCCACTCGGGGGTGCCCTTTCAAATGGTTGAGATGCGATGCAGTATTAAACCAATGCTTCTGTAAAAGGTCGCTCCCAGCAGACTGTGGCTGATGGGATGTGTAACAATGTTTATTTTGCATAAGGCGGGACAAAGATGGGGAGGTGAATTGTCCGTCTATGTTGTTACAATTTGCTATGTACGGTTTGAAAGAAGTGAAAAATACATACATGGTGATTCGGGGTCAGGGGGCTGAGCTGACACCACTGAGGTCCTGGGTTGTAATCTGGGAAGATGCTTGTGATTCAGCTGGCTTCTCAGCCCGGTTACCCAATGACTGCACAAAAAACCCATCGCATCTAATTTGGCTCTGCACTATGGCTGGTTTTTTACAGCTCTTGAGTATTAATAATATTGCTTTTATTGACATCCAAAGGATGTCTGGATAATACACGTCGATAATTATAATTATTATTTTATTAATACGCTTGTTTACTGAGGACGGCCTCGCACTGAGTCTCACCCTTTTTGAGGAGATTTCTGCTTCACAGCAAGGGACGATGTAATGAAATAATAAAGTACTTTTTCAAATGTAGTTAATGTGGACCATTACTCCGGCACATAATGTCCGACTCTTTTGGAATGTTACTGAACCTCCAATGTCTACTTTGAAGCAGGCAGTATGTATATTTTCGGTTAATACACCCACAGTATTAACCGAACCGTGAACCTCTGCAACGAGCAGCGGATGCCCTGCCGCTGAGTCGTGGCACTGCCCCCTATTGGAGTGACTTCAGAAGCTGGCATCTGATGTAGTCCTCTGAGGCCATTTGCTGATGCAAGGTGATCCACTGTTAGCTGTAGACTTGCGTATTGGAAATGAATTCATTTCATGCATTTAAGGATGAAGCCTAGGAATCCCCGAACAAAGCAGATGCTACCTTAATGGACTGACTTATCAGCTCGTGTTTAACCACGTGAGAGCCCCGTGATGTCTCGTATCTGGTTCATTGATTGGTTTTCCAGTGCTGTTGTTTGTCTTTGATATTATTGCATATTAACTGCCGCTGGTGTATGTCCAGCGCTTTTTTCAAATATGAAGAGGGCCTCGCCAGACTGCGCAGGTCATGGGGGTTATTTGACCATACTTCACCACGCTGGTCGGAGATGGGGGCGGGCAATAGAAGGCGGGTGGCAAAAATGCAGGAGCGTATAGAAGGACAGTACAGTAATGGTGTTGCTGCACTACCCTGTGCTCTGAAGAGCCCAACCATTTGTGGCAAGAGTACTCGTGGTAGTACCGTATTGCTTGTGGTGATGATGGCCATGATTTATATATGACCTGTTCTTTTTGTAACAAAATAAGCAGAGCATTCGCCTCCTTTCTCATATCTGTTCCTCCATGTAAACAACAATAAAAAAATTCCAATAAGCCACACAGCCTTCTGCAAGTGATTATTTTTCAGTAGCATTGGTGTCATGCAAGAAAACTCCACCAGCTTCGACATTCAGTGTCTCATCAGCAGTCAGGCTTGTTTAAATCATCACCGGTGAACTGCCAGATGTTTATCGGCAAGGAAAGGGCAAAGCCTATTTCCTTTTTCATCATCTTTATGGGTCCGATTTCATCGCAAAGTGATATAACGCATAACACAAAATAATTATTAGCATTGTTGTGGAGAACACAAGTAGGTGGATGTGTGGGGTTATTCAGAAGGAATGACCAGCAAGTAACCTGGAACGGGCATAACAACATGAGCATTATTCCTCAAGAGCTATCCTTCATTACTCTTTGGTTCTTTCGGTAAAGTCACGTACCGTGAGGGATAAAAGTATTTGATCCCCTGCTGATTTTGTACGTTTGCCCACTGACAAAGAAATGATCAGACTATAATTTTAATGGTAGGTTTATTTGAACAGTGAGAGACAGAATAACAACAACAAAAATCCAGAAAAACGCATGTCATTAAAATGCAAATCAATTTATAACATTTTTGACATGCGTTTTTCTGGATTATTTTGTTGTTATTCTGTCTCTAAATGTTCAAATAAACCTACCATTAAAATTATAGACTGATCATTTCTTTGTCAGTGGGCAAATGTACAAAATCAGCAGGGGATCAAATACTTTTTTCCCTCACTGTAGAAAATCAAATAATAGAATGCGACGTTTCGATTGCAACACAGGCAACCCTCATCAGGTAAGAATGAATGAGAAAAAACAAACATAGTAAACTTAGAAACACAATGCAACACAACACAGAGAGCCTGCCAACACAACAGCCAACATTCCACCAGGCTGACCACGCTCCTACAAAGAATGACAAACGGAAAGACAGCGCCACTGTGTCGAGGCCTTAAATAGAGAGAGGGGGGAGAGGTTGGGGCAGAGAGAGAGGGGAGGGATTGGGGTAGAGGACAAAGAGAGAGTTGTGTGGAATTCTGGACCATAGTGGCCGGAGGAGAGAATGGACTATAAACAAACCAACATGGCAATATTTATAGCAAGGAAATCGGAAGTTTGAGAAAGCAAATTGAGTAAAATTAAGAAGTGTAATGCAATGCAACACAGAGAGTAGGTTAACACAATTAACGCATAGCCTGGTTGATTTCGTTCTCCTAAAGATTGCTAAATTAGAAGTTAAGTGTGAGTTGTGAGGAAACCCTCCCCGTAGAGGTGGTTCAAACTAGATTTGAAGCATTCGTGACTGCAGGACTTACTCTTTGGTTCTTTCGGTAAAGTCACGTAGAAAATCAAATCAAATAATATTATCGGACTGTGCGCCGAAACCATGGATCTGGCACGCCGTCTATAAATAAATGGGAGGGGGAAAAAAAACAACCTCGTATTTGAGTGGAACACTTTGTGCATTTTAAGTGCCTGGTATCCTTGGCGGTGGTGACGCAAAGCTTGTAAAGTTATTGTCTGCCTCTGCTATAACGTTTAACTAAAGTGTGCGAGCTGCTTTGATAAAAATAACGAATAAAAACGCTGCGTTACGACAGAGCCTTTACCGCCTTCTAAACTGTGTTTGTTCTCAGAACGTGTTTTTAATGAGCGATAATGACATCACATGTCCAACCCGCACGAGGAGGTGACTTCACAATTGATAGCGCATTGAAAAGTAAAAGCAATTTTAAATTAACCTTGTCGGTCTTCCGTTTTCGTCGCTCTGACCCCTTTGGTGTGTCGTTTTCTATGATACGTTTTCCGAACCTTCGCCGTATTTGTAGCAGCAGCCCGCAGCAGCCACGGACAACAGAGTTATTGTTGGGGTAGAGAGGAGCCCAGCCAGGAAACCGAAGGCATAGATTATTTTGAATAGTATGATAGTATTTAACCTTATGCAAAACCACACATCACCATATCAGAGGTCAACACTGCCCATAGCATTACTCAGATCCGGAAGTCACTTTGCATTTATTGGTTTTAATGGTTACTTCAAATAATCTCCTCGCAATTACAGTCTGTTTTTCTATAACACGTGTTTTTCACAACGCGAATTGGATATAACCATGATGAATGTATTAAGGGACACCTTTTTGTATAATGCGAATTAGATAATAACGCGATTGGGTTCTCAAATTACGTTCCGTGAGTTGGAATAACCGGTTGTGTGGCTGCCTCGGATGCTGAAGCATCCAGCAGCATTAGGATGCTGCTGGATGCTGAAGCATGCTGAAGCATCCAGCAGTTTTTTACTCAATTTGCTTTCTCAAACTTCCGATTTCCTTGCTATAAATATTGCCATGTTGGTTTGTTTATAGTCCATTCTCCAGCAGCATTGGGATGCTGCTGGATGCTTCTAGACACTACCCACGCGCCTCAGTCTTTGTTCGGCCTGCGTATGCATCTCACGTGTTATCGCAGACTATGCTTAACCCTATATCATATATTATTTATTATAATGCGGTCTTTCCATAACACGGTGTTCTTCAGGAACGCAACTACTACCGCATTATAGGAGAGCAGACTATACTACAAGATGAGTTTGAACATGGTGGTAAGAAGTATTGAATATTTTTACTGCAAATTATACTTGAACTTCCAAGCATCTGCATGGAGGAGCCATGCTCGAGCAATGTTTACGATCATCCTATAGCCATTGCAGTTTGCACAGTGTCAGTAAATGTTTAAGTTTATAAAGAAATTATGCAGGAAGTTAGTGACACGACTCTATCTTGTGTGTTGTTCGCACAATGCAGCTGGTTACATGAACAATGTCGCAGTACCATCCCTTTGGCCATTCCACGCAGCATTATAACAATGATGCTCGTGTTTTCATTCAAGCGAATCACCCGGAATGCACAGCGGCAATGGGAGGCCTTCACCCTGCAACAGCCGTATTGACGGTGGTGTGGCCAACCTTCTGACATGTGGTTCAAAAACATGGACATTAATGAAAACAATGGAAGTGCGCCAAGGAATGGAAAGTGTTCATAAACTGAAAAGTATTCAGTAAAGAAGAGAGAGAGAGGTGCATGCTTAGAATGCCATTGTGACCCCTGGAAAGGCACACAGAGAAAAAGTAGGGGCTAATGGCATAATTTTAACTGTTAATGAATCCAAGTGGGTGGAGGC